ATGATTTTTGAAAACCCAAATTTGAATTCAAAGCTTTCAAGCTTTTTAATGGCTATCAATGGTGGAAAATATATGGAAGAACAGATGAAGAACAGAAATCTCCTTTCCGTTTCAAAATTACGCATTCCGTTTCAAATTTTGAATTTAATGTGGAATAAATCAATCCCAGATTCTGTGGCTGATTTTTCGCGCGCTAAAAATGGCAGATCCTGCCTAAATAACGAATGGTATATAAATTGTAGATAAACTGTGGACTGGGCGGGTAATATACATACTATGCACATATTTGGTAATAAGGTTTCATATATGGTATAGTTAGGAAAAAATCCTTTTTTCGATCATGTTTAAGCCTCTATGAGATCTATTAGGCCAGCCCTTAGGAGATTTTCGGGCCGAGCTTGTTTGTAAAAACTAAAAAGGATTTTTTACCTCATATACCAAAGTTTAACACCTTATTTATTTTAAATAAATATCATTTTAAAAAATTATATTCTATAGCTATCTTTTAATGTTTTATAGCAAAATATCTCTTTATGGTTAACTCCTACCCTTAAGCCACTATATACGTTAATTATTATTTTTCTCTGTCCCTTTTCAGATTTTTCTCTCACATAATTACCGTATTTGATGTAAACTTCTCTCTCCACATTCTCTCTCTCTAATTTGATACACGCCATTATCTTCCCTAGAAAATACGATTCTGCAAATGAAATTCTCTCTCACCCACATCGTCTTTTATTGTTTTTATTAATGCATATGTTTCAATCTTGTAATGCTGTTGTAACATTAATTTGCGAAAGTTAGGCGGCAAAGATGGAAACAAAGTGTTCGTGCCATTCCTCCATTGAAAATCTCCGGCGATCAAAGCAATTTCGTTTCACCGGTTATCGATGGAAACAAAATGAAAATTCGTCGATATCTGCTATCGACGAGACGACGTTAGAGTTATTCTTGAACAACGACGACGGAGTTTTGGTGCTGAGCAACTTGAAGAGTCTGTTACTTTTTTTTAATATATTTCAATGTGTCTCGCTGTATTCGGAGTTTTGCGGCTGAGCAACTCGAAGAGTCTGTTACCATTTTTTATTGTATTTCAATGTATCTCGCTGTATTATATATATTTCATTGTATTTCAATGTATCTCACTGTATTCCATGTATTTCATTGTATTTACTCTCTTTCTATATTCCATGAATGTATTCATATTTTTTTAATTAATACTGCCTCCGTTCCATTTTATATGAACTTGTTTGACTGGGCACGGAGTTTAAGAAAAAAATGAAGACTTTTTGAATTTGTGGTCCTAAACAAGTCAAAAAGAGGTCAGAGTATTTGTGTGGTTATAAAAGCTTCTCATTAAGGGTAGAATTGGAAGTTTAAGCTAAATTGTTTCCAAATTTAGAAAGGAGTCATTCTTTTTGAAACGGACCAAAAAGGAAATAGGTTCACATAAACTGGAGCGGAGGGAGTATAATTTATGTATTCAGATGGCTTTATGTATTCAGACTTATAATTGCATTAGTTGACTTATATTAGGAGTTTATTGTGTTAATTGATTCACTTTCCGTTTAAAATCAGATAAATAGACCACGATTTGCGCTATTTACGTTACTATATTCACAATTATATATCGTGAATACAGTCGAATGCAATATCTGTCTAGCTGTAATCCCATGTTTCACGCCGTGAATACAGCCGAATTCAAAAATTTGTCTAGCTGTAATTCCCTGTTTCACGCCTAGAAATGTTATTGTATTCATGAATACAGTAGCTTAAATACATCAAACACACTCTAAAAACCCTGAAAACATAGCTATATGAAGTAATGTAGTAAATGGTAGCTACAACTAGCTAATAACCACTAAACATAGTGGTTTCTGAAAGTTTCCCTTGTAAAAATGAAAAGAGTCAAGCCTCATATGTTCACACTTTATGGAGGTATGAATCTTAATCATTCAGATTTCAAACATTAAGTGCGTTTGTTTTTAAAGTCTGAATCTTAATTATTCAGATCTTAATCATTAAGTGTATTTTTTTACTTCACAACCACTTAATGGGTCCGAATAGGTCTGTATGATTAAGATTTATAATAGAAACTTAATTTTATTAAGATGCTATCATCCATATCTATTATTAACTGTTGCCACTGCCTACAATTATCAACTATCACCATGTCACCCACCACCACCATACTCAACCACTACCAAGACCACCACCACCAACCCCAATCATAGCCACCATCGCGGACTAGCACCACCCACCATCCCCGCCACTCCCACCACCATCATTCTCAACCACAACCAAAACTCATCTACCACAACTAACCACCCCATCACCATCAACAAACATAGCCGACACTATCCATCATTATAAACCACCACCACCTTCCTCAATCACAACCACCACCACCATCCTCAATCATAATCGCCACCACTATCAATTACTACTAATTACTACCATGAACCACCACCATCAACCACTGTCTCTAGTCGGTATTCACAAGCACTACCGTTAGTCATCACCACCGGCAACTATCATATTTTAAAAAACTATGTATTTTATTAATAGAATACTATATTAATTAGTATTTCATTTGAATTTAATTTTTATTAATTTTCAAATAAGAGATAAATTTTATACATTCAGATATTAAAAATCAAACAGTCTTAATTATTTAGTATCTAAATCTTAATACACATTTTAATATTCAGATGTGTATTCAGATTCAGACGTCTTAATCTAAAAAAAAAAAAGAGGTCTCAATGACTCGGAATGATAGGCCAGGCTGGTTTGAAACCATTCAATGTTGTGAACCCAGTGGACATGGGCCTAACCAGAGCCCACATAATTGAGTTGCTACATTCGTAACATCCTAACTACAACTTTATTTTGCCGGTATAGCCAGTTTTCGGACTGTTCATTCAAAAATAGCCAGCTTTTACCAAGTCAATGAAAAATAGCCACTATTTTGCTGCAATAGAGACCGGTCCAGCATAATATACTGGAGTTCAGTGCACCTATGTATTAACTCCAGCATATTATGCTGGACCGATTTATTTTTCTGGCTCCAGTATAATATACTGGAGTTTGGAGCACTAGTGCTCCATTCTCCAGTATATTATACTGGACCGGTATACTTGCTGGAACACCAGTATATTATGCTGGAGTTCTAGTGTACTTATGCTGGAACTCCATCATATTATGCTGGAGTTCCAGCATATTATCCTGGAACTCCAGTATAATGTGCTGGAGTTCAAGTATATTTATGCTGAAACTCCAGCATAATATACTGGAGTATTTTTCGGGTTTTGAACAGTATTTTTGCTCAGATTTATCTTTACATAAAAAGTGGTTAGATTTCGTTTACTTTTGAAATTGGGCTATTTTTGAACGATCAGTTGTAATCTGGCTATTTTTGAATTTCTCCCTAACTACAATCCAATGATTTTCTTTGAAAAATGATACTGTAGCCACTCTCAAGATAATAGCAAAAAAAAATTGTATATTTTTTTGTATACATATACATTATGTATGTTACATACAAAAACTGTACAAATCTTATATACTTTTTCGACTACCAAATATGAATAGTTTCTAGCATGGGCTAAAAATAGTAATACCCTATTTTCATTTGTAGTAGATAGTTGTATGATACTAGAAAATCAAGGAAAGAGTATCTGTAGGTTAATTCCTAACGCAGTATCATGTTTTGCACCATGTGAAAATAATTAGGAACGACAATTGGTAGATATTGTTTTCAGGGACAAATAATTTTCCAACCCGCTTTGTTTGTTGATAAACCAAAACTGAAATCAAAGAATTACGATGTCCGCAAAGTAGTTGATAATTTACCAATGTACATGTTTTTTCTCCAAATAAACTCCATAATTCTTAGGCCATCACAATAATCCCAAATTTAGAGTAGATAGTTCAAGAACATTATAGCTGCTTTAGGCGCGACTAATAATGAATTATTGTGACTATGGGTACGGTTCCAATGGCATAGTTTTGATACGTAATTCCAAATTCAAGTGCGCGTCCACATGCCTTGACCGAAATTTCAAATAATTAAAACAAACATGTTATGAATCATGGGTACATTTACGTGGCGTGATTCGCAGTGTACTAAACAACAAGTGTACAACATTGTGACTTGTTCAAATAATTGCCATAACTATTAAAATATATTATTCAAAGCGGCGAAAGGTAAAAACGCAAATAAGTCCAAAACATGTAATAATCAGATATTTAAACCGACTGTAATTGTAAAGCGACCGTGCTAAAACTACGGAATCCGAGAGTGCCTCACACCTTCATCCGAGTTAACAGAATTCCTTATCCGGTCTTCTGTGTTTCGCGGACTTTACAGAGTCAAATTTTCTTGATTTGAAATTTAAAATAAACCGGTGACTTGAGACACCGCAATAAATAATTCCATGTGGCACTCTTGCAATAAAATAAATCAATCCATTTTGAATAACGCCATTTTAATTGAAAAAATCACATTTTCCCGTAAAAAGAAGGTGTGACACTCACACTCATTTATGTTTCTTTCAGGAGCTCAAGCTCACAATGGAGTTAGAATCTATTTTCCTATTTCCTGTTGTAATCACTCGAGTTAATCAATAAAGCGCTCGATTTCAAATTTCCTTCTTCGATTAAATGCGTGTATCAATTTCTTAAGTACATAACATAATTATACATATAGTTCTCAAAATGATCCAAAAGAGCAGAACAAGTGAAATTGAGAGTTAATGTTTTAGCTCACTGTTAGGTTGTATAAGGAGTATAAGGAGTATTTTCAAAAAAAAAAAAGGAGTATAAGGAGAATGTTAGTTGGGCCTTTTTTCTTTTCCTTTACTTTGTTTTGTATTGGGCCCAGAAGCCCACATCTGTGTTTATGCACTCGTTTATTTCAGTCATTGGGTCTGTTTTAGCTTTTGACCCATATAGCCTATGTGTAATTGAACATTCGAATTCAAATTTTATCATGGTATTAGAGCCCAAATCTAGCTAGATCTGGTGATTACAAGTTGACCGATGTTACCCTCGACCATTTTCGCCAGAGTTTTGCTCTTCCGCGGCGATCTCTCTTCTTTTGAAATTTTCCGTTGATTTTCTCCGGTGATAACGCTTAAATTCGCGTGTTTTTCTGGTAGAGATTGTTCATATTGTTGTTCGATCAAAGTGAATCAAAATTTCAGAGGAAGATTTCTCAACCTAGGGTTTGGAGATTTCTGCACTGGTATGCTTCAGCTTGGGTTTTGACGTGGTTTCGTCTTCGTTTCTCTATATAAGGCCGTTGTTCCTTTCGGTTGCAAAGGAAATTGGTAATGCCTGATCACTTTCTCTTTTATTGCATGTGTAGCCTTTTCTGTTGATTATGTATAAAAATGACAATTGACAATAGTTCTCCATCCGAGTTGCCTATTGGTCACTCTACGTCTTCTCGTTCTGTGTTTCATGAGGACGACTATACTCACCAATGTCATCCCCTCTATGTGCATCCATCTGGCATATTGGGGTCTTCACCAGTCCTTTGCGTTTTGATAACACTAGGTATGGGAGTTGGAGACGAACTATTCTTGTAGCCTTGTTTCTTAGAAATAAATTGGATTTTATAAATGGATCCTCAATTAAACCTCCTGACAATTCTCCCCTGGCGAGACAGTGGCAGAGGTATAACGATTTAGTCGTCTCGTGGTTAATCAACTCGTTGTCCGAAAACATTGTTCGTAAACTTGCCAAAGATATTTGGAGTGAGTTGGAGGAAAGATATGGTCAGGCAGATGCTGCAAGAGTATTTGAGCTTAAAAAGGAATTAGCTCGCATTTCTCAAGGCTCTCTTGATATTGCCTCCTATTTCAATAAGATAAAGCAATTATGGGATGAAATTGATGCTTTGTCAATAAGTAGAGTCAGGTCTTACAGCAACTGTGGTTTTAAATCTGATTATCAGAAGGATGATGATGTCCAAAAGGTGTATCAATTTTTTATGGGTCTCAATGATACATATGTGCAAACTAGGAGTAACATCTTTATGATTAAACCATTCCCTTCTGTGAGCAGTGTCCACAGTGTCTTGTTGTCAGATGAGAAGCAGAGGCAAGTTTCTACCTCTCCTCGGTTTCTCCCTACATTTGCTTCTTTCAATGTTGGGGTGTCCAAACAAGGGTTTCCCTCCAGAGTCAATTTTGATGCTCACAAGTCACCTGTGTGAAAGTATTGTAAGAAACCATGTCATACTATTGATAAATGCTACAAGCTGCATGGGTATCCTTTCAAATTTACAAAGGGGGGTCTGGAAGTAGAAAGACTGCAGCTCATGTTGAGGTCAATTCTCTTGGTCCTCCCGCTAGTGTGGTTTCTAATATGGGTTCTCTTCCACAATGCCTAGTGCTTTTTCCACATCCCATTGTCCCTATACAGTTCAATTATTTTACTGTACACAAAAGAATTTAAACGATAACTTCCTCTCCTCATTTTGGAGACAATCGACCAAGTATCCTCCAACCGCCCAGCTGGGCGGTTGGAGGATACTTGGTCGATTGTCTCCAAAATGAGGAGAGGAAGTTATCGTTTAAATTCTTTTGTGTACAGTAAAATAATTGAACTGTATAGGGACAATGGGCGGGCTAGATAGAATTTGGGTGGGTCAAGATGGGTTAGGTCAATAAAGGGATTTTTACATTCCTATGCCACATAGGAAACCTTATTACCCTCAATGTTTAAGGTTTGATTTAACTACAAGCCCGTATAGCAAATTACCAATCCTATACCATACTTAATTAAGGGTCTAATTAATGGGCAGTTTTTACTCCTTAATTAAAGGTGTCCATATATCCCACGTTTCTCTATCCCTCTAATTCCTAAACCTCCGCCGTTTTCCCCCTCCCCTCTCTTCCTCTTCTCCATTCCTTCTTCTTCTCAAAAAATACAGAGATGGAAATTGTAATTTTGTTGCGTACGGAATTATAATTATGTTGAATCCTCTTTTATCGTGCTGGTTAAGTGTTCGATCCAGAAAAGCGAAATTAGGAGCCCAACAGATGAAAAGAAGAAGCAAATTTCATTGTTTAAGAAGACACCAAATGATCACATTATATTATCGGTCCTAATAATGAAGAGAAACACCAAATAGGTGTGGTTTCTTAAAGCAAGGGTATGGTTAAGATTTTTTTGTCTAGAAATAGAACTCTACTTGTTCTATTTTATATTCCTCTTTTCATTATCCCATAATTAATTTTTCAACATAAATTGTAGTTTAATTGTAGTATAAATATAGTAATTTTGTAGATACTCTTAAAAACAATGCAACTTTATACAATACTTAAACTGATTTGTAGTTTATTTGTAGTTTTTTTGAAGAAATTTTGTAGATGAAGAGAAAATTTTGTAGTCAACATTTTTTTTCAAAATAGATTGTAGTTAATTGTAGTATAAATCTAGTAATTTTGTAGATACCCTTAAAAACAATACAGCTTTATACAATACTAAAACTGATTTGTAGTTTATTTGTAGATGAAGAGAAAATTTTGTAGTCAATATTTTTTTCAACATACAATTTATCTACATAATATCTACAAACTGGGTACATTAAATTTTTATATCCCAATTCCCATACAATTGTAGCATAATTGTGATTTTTGACATAATTGCGTTTTTTCAGAAGATTTGTAGAAGTTTTAGCCTTTTTTTATTTTTGAAAACAGAAAATAAAGCATCTACAATCAGAATACAAATAATTTATAATTTATCTACAATTTTTGCAATATGTCTTCTTCTTCGAGTTTCAATCTGAAATTCAGTCAAAACCAAGTCTAATCTTCACCAAAACCCCTCAAAATTGAGATATAAACTCCAAACCATATTCCCGATTATTTTCAACAACACCCAATCCAAACAAATAATGATTTTTGAAAACCCAAAATTTGAATTCAAAGCTTTCAAGCTTTTTAATGGCTATCAATGGTGGAAAATATCTGGAAGAATATTTACTTCCGTAATGGCTTCCTGATTTTTCGCAGGTGAATAAGGCAGAATTTTAATGTAGACTCAATTAATCCCAAGATTCTTTCCTGATTTCTCGCGCGCTAATAATGGAAGATTCTGCCCTAATAAACGAATGGTATATAAATTATAGGAAAAATATGGACTGGGCGGGTAATTTAGATACTATGCACATATTTGGTAATAAGGTTTCATATATAGTATAGTTAGGAAAAAATCTCGTCAATAAATGGGTCATTTCCCAATCCAACCCAAAGTATACTTGGGCTAAGATGGGCCAAACAATGGGTAAATTTTAAAAATAGCCAGATTTACAACTGGTCGTTCAAAAATAGCCCAATTTCAAAAGTAATCGAAATTTAGCCACTTTTTATATAAAGATAAATCTGAGCGAAAACACTGTTCAAAACCCGAAAAATACTCCAGTATATTATGCTGGAGTTCCAGCATAAGTATACTTGAACTCCAGCATATTACACTGGAGTTCCAGAATAAATATGCTGGAACTCCAGCATAATATGATGGAGTTAAGTACACTAGAACTCCAGCATAATATACTGGAGTTCCAGCAAGTATATTGGTCTAGTATAATATATTGGAGTTTGGAGCACCAGTGCTCCAGTCTCCAGTATATTATACTGGAGCCAGCAAAGTATACCGGGTCCAGCATAATATGCTGGAGTTCGTACACAAGTGCACCGAACTCCAGTATATTATGCTGGACCGGTCTCTATTGCAGCAAAATAATGGTATTTTCCATTGACTTGGTAAACGCTGACTATTTTTGATTGGCTAGCTCGAAAACTGGCTATACCGTGCTATTTTTACCCAAACAATGGGTATAACCCAACTCGCCCAATTTGACCCATGTTTTAGAACCATAGTCATCTTGCATAAAACAACCTTTTACCTAAAAATGTGTAAGTTGAAAAATATTTTGCTGGTAGGGGTGGTGGGTGGTGCAAAAAATTAAAAAAAATAGAAAATTTAAAATACAAAAAAAAGTAAAAAAAATGCACGTACGGTTTTTAGGGGGATCTGGTCGAAAAACCGGCCGGGGGATGGGGATGGGATAGGATCGGTGAGTGGTGCAGAGAAAATTGAAAATACAAAAAAAATTTTTTTTTGGGGGGTGATGGTGGTTAGGGTGGGTGGGTGATGCATAAAGTTGAAAATACAAAAAAAAATAATAATTGGGGCAACTAAATAAATTTCTAGATAAGTTGGGTTGAGATCCCTTTGTTTTTGGCGAGTTTCATGGGTTATATTTGGGTTGATTAATGGGTCGGAAATGACTATAAAATATAATTGATTAACTTGGGCTCAACCCAAATAGACCATTGAGCTAAAATATTTGTAGTCCAACCCATTAATTTTTGTGTGGGTTAGATGGATTTGGGCTCAAATTGTCACCCTATACCTCCTCAAAGACAACATGGTAACCACTTAGAAAGAACTAAACAAAGATTAAATAAACAAAATCAAAAATAGAAAAAGCAGAGAAACAGAAAGAAAATAACAAACAATGGACCGAGGACTCTCTAATGGAGCACTGCACAATATCCCATCACGCGAAGAAGAATGAAATTTCTCCGTGAGAGTATCCAAATTTTTTCTCAAATCATCCATTTTAGAATCATTTGCAGTTATGTATTTTCGTAATTGCGACTTTATTTTTTTAACAGTTTCTTCAGTAGATTTAGATCTTGTTTCAGCTCATGTCATGTTGAATAGGTCAGTGAACACGCCCAATTATGCCTTATAAAAAGGACTAAGCGGACGTTGCAAATATAATCTAAGTATTTAGCTCAGAGTCGAACCCACATGAAATTAACCTCTCAATTACTCTTGTTAGACTCACTAAATTCTACGTAATCAACTTCCCAAATATTTTGAATAACAATTGATGATATTTTTACTAACTATAACTGAATGCAATTAAGTAAACTAAAGACTAACTATGATTAAGTTGTAAACAATTAAGAGAAAGATCTAAGCTTGAGATTTCCCTCATTGATGGAATCCCTTCCTGTTATGTTTCATAAAGATTTGCATAATCATCTCTATCGATCATGAGCAATCTTACTACCGTAAATCTCTCCCGAGTAATTACGACAATATACTATACGCACTCTCCCGAGTTACGCTAGTTGGCCTTTATTATAGCTCACTTTAGATCACACCCAAGGCTTCGTTATCCCTAATCTCCCCTTTATACCCTCGGCTATTGATTCTCGTATACTTTGGAAGTGGTGTTGTTCAACAATTACCTAAATATGCACTCTCTCCCGAGTAATACATACTAAATAGGCATAGCTAATTGAGGATCCTATCAATTAACTACAACAAGAACGTAGTTGAACAAATAGAGATTAAACCGGGCAAACTATATTAACATAAACACGAAGTTCATCCTTCAATAGGTTCCATCAAAACCCTAGACTAAATATTTAGCTACTCATAGCAAAGCAAGATAAAACTACAAAAAGTATTCATAATGTGCAAATAAAGATAATAAAGAGAAGATTGAAAAACTCTAATGGTTGATTGCTCTTCTCACACTCGTTCTTGCCTCCAATTCGGTCTACAACAAGCTTCACCTTTGCTTGGGCGAGTTTGTTGAGTTTATAAAGGGTTATGATAAGTTTCCCCCGATTTACACTTTAGTCTCAAAATTTATGGGCGATTACACCGTTGACCGCGGCAGAACGCGCGCGACCGCGGTGAATCGCAACTATTCCGCCTCAATCTTTTGGCCTACCGTGTTCCAGCCGCGGTCAACTGCGGTCGCGGTGGCCTTTTGTCCAATCCTCTTTTGCCTCTTTCTTGCTTATTTTCGTTTGGGTTCTTCTTGATTGATCTTACTATCAGTCAGGATAGGGCTCTGATACCAAATTTTATGTATTTAAGAAATTGATACATGAATTTAATCGAATAAGGAAATTGAAACTCAAATCGAAAGCTTTATTGATTAACTTGAGTGACTACAACTGGAAATAGGGAAATAGATTCAACTCCATTGTCAGCTTGAGCTCGTAGAAGGAATAGAAATGAGTGTGAAAAAGAAAGAAGATCGAGAGAGATTAGGAGAAAGAGATAACAAATTCTACCTAACTGGCTCCTTCCCACTGTTTGAATGTTATAACCACTTGGACTCAATCTGGGCCATCCGATTAAATTATTCTTTCCACTTCTAATTTGGTCTATTCATCTCAGCTCATTTATTATTTAACTTCCTATGTCGTCCACGTGTCCATTACTAACTACAACCCTAATGCTCAATATATCATTACACTTTTCTTTTATTCTCATTTCTTTCGGACACCGTTTTACTTTAACAAATTAATACTCCGGCTATTCCAATTTATATGACTATTATTATTTGGGAGTAAAATAGTCTTTTTTGTTAGAAAATTATGGTTTTTCATAATTATTTAATAAAAAATATAAGTTATAATTAAAATATTGACCATACCTTTTCATTCCTTTTGAAATACAAGAGTATTTATATTAATTTATGTTCTTCCTTAGGTTGAAAAAGCTAGAGTTTATGTATACGTTTTTTACATAAGATTTTTTTATTCCACATTTATAAATAACTTTTTCCACATTAAATTGGTCAGCATTTACCCCATTAAGGAACAAGAATTTGACAAACATTTTTGTGAAAACAATTTCTTTTTGCTAATATAAAAGTTATGCTGAGTGGAGAATAAAGAAGTTGGCGAATTCAGAATTGTGATTCTGAGCTGGGTATGGTTTCTGAAAAGCATATCTAATTCTAATATCAATCTATTTTTCACACACACATATATAGAGTTTGACCTTATGCGTTGGACTCATGGTTGGTTCCGCTACTAACGGAACCCTCAGTTTTCTGTAAATTATCTATAAAAGGGATTTAAGTTGGACATTTGCTAATTACTCTCAAAGCTCAGCCTATTCCAAAAGTGTCAGCAGCATTTTGGCCTTGCCATTGCTCTGTTTGATAAAGTGTGTGAGGGGGGGGGGGGGGGGGGCTGTAGTTAGCAATTTTGTTACTCCTTGTCTCCCTATATTCCATTTTATGTTTCGACACTTTTCTCTATTTGTAAACAATTTAACTTCAAAATTTTCTTTTTATCCTTAATAGCATGCTTGTCATAGAATTGTTGTAGCATGTTTAAAACCACAAGTTTAAAAAATCTATCTTTCTTTGTTAAACTGCGTGTCTCGTCAAATACTACCATAAAATTGAAATGGAGGGGCTATATATGTATGTGTATATATATTGCCAAGCTTGGCAGCACTTTGGAGCTTAGCAGCCACAGATTTCATTTTACTTCTGAAGTTAGTCGAAGCAAAAAGGATGTAATCTCTCCTGGTGGCAGAATAACCTATTGGGGCTAACTTCATCAGTTCGCTGGAGAATTTTGCATTTGTTACCTATTAAGATTGTGTGGATATAGCAAGAAAGAATACATATTAACTTTACAAATTACAGTTCTTTAATAGCAATGGCTCTCTAACCATTTTTAGTTGCAGCGAGCATACTTCTTGCAAAAGAGTATGCATATGCGACAAAATCTTCTTTTTAGATCCAGTCCAGCTATATGCCCTCATGGTGTGTGGGATCTTGTCCCTGTTTATCTGAAGCATCACGTTGATCCAATCAAACGCAAGATGCTACATACATCAATTCAGCTTATATTGCAAAGTAGAGCTAAAAGATGTGGCTTTTTAGTTAATTGTCGTTTTGGAAGCATTGACTATTCGAGTAATGAGCAGCAGGGTTTTCATATAAATGGTGAGGAGATTTCTTATGATTTATACAATGCATCCATTTGTGAGTTGTGTAGTGAAGGTGACGTTGATAAGGCAATGGGGTTGCTTTCCCAGATGGAGGCTTTGGGTTTTCATGCAAATTATTTGTCTTATTCATGTTTGATCGCTGCACTTGGAAGTGTTGGCAGGACCTTGGAAGCTGATGCAATCTTTCATGAAATGTTATCTTCTGGTCGCAGGCCAGGGGTAAAGGTGGTCAATGCGTTACTTCGGAGCTTCTTGCGAAAAGGCCTCTTAAGGCTAGCAGATAAGGTCTTGATGTTACTTGAAGATTTGGATGTTGAGAGAAACCAAGAAACTTATGAGATCTTGCTTGAGTATTATGTCAATGCTGGGCGGTTGGAGGATACTTGGTCGATTGTCTCCAAAATGAGGAGAGAAAGTTATCGTTTAAATTCTTTTGTGTATAGTAAAATAATTGAACTGTATAGGGACAATGGGATGTGGAAAAAAGCACTAGGCATTGTGGAAGAGATCCGTGAGATGGGGTTACGATTGGATAAGCGTCTCTTTAATAGCATCATTGATACTTTTGGCAAGTATGGTGAGTTGGGAGAGGCCTTAGAAGTGTTTGAAAAAATGCGCCGAGATGGCATAAAGCCTGATTTTCGAACATGGAATTCTTTGATCCGGTGGCATTGCAAGTTTGGGCATCTTGATGCTGCTATAGGTTTGTTCGATGAGATGCAAGAACAAGGACTATACCCTGATCCAAAGATCTTCATTATCATTATTACCCATTTAGTGGAGCAGGGTAGGTGGGATGTTATCAATAAAATTCTCAAGAATATGCAAGGGAGAGGACATCACAAGAGTGGGGCTATTTACGCTGTCTTGGTTGATATTTATGGCCAGCAGGGTAGATTTCAGGATGCAGAGTATTGTTTAAATGCTCTGAAATTGGAAGGTCTTCAGCTTTCACCTAGCATCTTTTGTGTCCTGGCCCATGCCTATGCTCAGCAGGTGAGGTGTTGTGCTGTTCGTTTGCTTATTTATTTAAACATAAAATAGTTAATGATTATCTGAAAATGTGTGCACTAGCTGAGTAGGTCGTAGCAACCTCAATATGTTTCTTCTTTTCCATTTTCGGTGTGGGGGTGGAGGAGAGTGCCTGAGGGCCCTTGGGACTTAGTGTGCAGATAGATTGAAAGTTGGAGATTTAGCACGCAGGTAAGTAGTCCTCTGATTGAAAGTCCATCTCTCAGGATTGGCATGTGCATGACTTTCATGTTCCTAGTCTTTAAATTGGATTAAATTCGTAGTATTTGACCATTTTAGGTTCTCTTCGCAACTAAAGAAAGATGTTAGTTCGAAGCATATCTGAATAGTTGGCTGCAAAAAGATATTAATACATATTTTGTTCTAGAAAGAAGGTAAGGAAACTACGGTCTTCCAAATATTAAATCCAAGTTCTTTAACTGATTGCTAATTTAGTTCCTTATTATTTTGTTGTTGGGTGAAGAAATGGGAGAAATATTTGGTGGACGGATTATCCCCTGATCCCCTCTTATCTATTTTTCGGTTGAGATACAGCATAGGTTGTAAGAGAACATTGATATAAATTATCCGGCAGAGAAAAATTGATTTTGGGATGCATTACATTTATGGTATGAGGAATGACTCTGGGAGTGTCTTTAAATTGCAATTTCTTTCATTGAGATGTGAATATTTTCAACGTGGGATCAGTGGCATGACTTAATTCTGCCACTTTATACAACGGTAGTGCAAATCTTGGATTAGATAACTTTGGAAAGAGTTTTTGAGTCGAGTTGAGACTTAAACATCGGCCTTCCATTTACTTTGTCTTAATTTCTGGCATGACTTGTATTCTTGTTCTCCTTATATTTGAGGTCTCTCTTTACATTTTGTCAGTCTATGCAACTAATGTTTCCTTCACCTGCATATTACTTTTTTTAAGATAGTATCTTTAAGCAGCTTTGAGGAGATTCCATCTTTTTTGATATTCTTGCCTTGTGTGCAGGGATTCTGTGAGCAGACTGTAAAGGTTCTGCAGATAATGGAAGCCGAAGGAATGGAACCAAACCTTATAATGCTAAATGTGCTGATCAATGCTTTCGGGACTGCTGGTAGGCATATGGAGGCACTATCAATTTACCAGCACATAAGGGAGATGGTAAGTCCTTAAACATTTCCAACTTTTCCTCAGGCATATTTCCTGAGATAAACTTTGCTGATAGTGGTGCTGCTATTTTTCTAGGGTATTACTCCTGATGTGGTTACTTATAGTACTTTAATGAAGGCTTTTATGAGGGCTAAGAAGTTCGATCAGGTAAAAAGATAAATGATTTGATTTCTTTTCTGGCTTTAGTGAGAAAAGGGAGTAGAAATCATGGAAAATATATGCTGACTGGACTTTTTCTATATTTAGCAGCATTTATTTGGCTCTAATTTGTTGTTGCTTGTTAGGTCCCCAAGATGTATAGTGAAATGGAATCCGCTGGATGTGCGCCAGATAGAAAGGCTAGAGAAGTGTTGCAATCAGCATTGATGATCCTTGAACAAAGACATTGTTAGTTTACATAGAACTTATCAACCTATTCGGCTCTAACAATGCTGTTGTTAGCTTCTTCATTCAGAAGATGACGTACAGCACCAAAAACTAAAAAGCACTTTTGATGCTACTCACTGTTATCCACAATCTTTAAGGACTTTGATACTCAAGTGAGATAATGTCCTTGATCTTCATAGTAATTATTTCTTAATTTTGCTTTCTTTTGGTCTCGTTATTCATTCTTTATCTGTTCTAAAGCTTTAGCCTTGTCGATTTCACGGCCTTCTAACTTGTTTGTCAGCTTATTGCTGTACCACTTCTTGGTGCCTTATTTAGGTTACGTATCTTTTGATAAGGAAGTTACGGCAGAGCAGCTTGTCATTTCTGAGGTTTGTGAATATGGATTTCAATCTGTTCTGGTTTATATTCACATATGGTATCATACTTATCAACCCGTGGTCACATTTGTCTGCAAGTCTGCCCAAGTTTTGTGCACAAGGGAAGTCATTGGAGTTATATTTAGCCTTAAAATTTCACTGAAGTTGCTTTAGAAGTATTGTTGTATTTACTGAGTTAGAGATTAAACGTGCAATACAAACTTGTGCATGGAATTCCATCCTTTTCTTGATTGGAGCATACTGTAGTTTAGGACCGCAGTTATACCCTGATTTCTCTCTAAGGCACCATATATGTTTATGCAATTCATTATAGGCTTCATTCATGTTATATCTGCTACTATTCGACCTGTACTTATCCCCCTTTTTCCTATGGAATCTTCAGGTTTCAGTAAATGACAGCCAGCCTGTGCCTTTTAAAGGAACTACCTGGTACTAGCAAGGATACTCGGTAACAGCAAGGTGTCCTGGGCACCTTCAGGCTTCACTTTTTCCTTGGCAGCCATTCTTTTCTCCAAATGTACTTCTGTTCTTCTGCATTATTGCTATATCAACAGGGTGAGAAATGGTTCACCTAGGTTTTCCTAGTCACAAGCTCAATTAGATGCGATGAAAGATCAGAATCTGCATGTTTCTTGAATAACTTGATGCTGCAGAGATTGTATTTGCTTGCTGATAGTGTCACAAATTTAACTTATATATGCTGATAGTGCTCTTGATATTTTACACTATTGGTGTGTTCTAACTTGTTATAGCAGATTGTTTATTTATATATTACCAAATTAGGCTTAATATGGAGATTTACGTGTTGTAGATCATTTTACCCCGATGGTATAAAAAAGTTGCATATTGTTAACGCAATTTATAGCTTGATTAACTTCTATGCTAACATAATGAAGGGAACAAAAGTAGCATCTTTTAAGGCTAAACAGTACTATTGTGGGTGCTCTATGTTGCTGCAATAACATGGTCTTGTTTGACGCTGATGCAGAATTTGCAATTGACAACACCAAATTAGAAAGAGGAAGGCCACTGCATTCTTTTTAATTTGTGCATTCAACTTTCTTTCTTTATTATTAGGACTTGGAAATATAAATACAAAACGTTTGAAGAAATTACGAGCCCGTTTGGACATTAGAAAAATTTTACTTTTTTCGAAATTTTTTCGCCTTTTTTCGAAATTAGCGTTTGTTCATAAAATTTTTAATTTTTACTTTAAGATAAATTTTGGAATTTTTCGAAAATTTGAAAAACTCCAAAAAGCTGATTTTCAAAATTTCTACTCAGATCACTCACAAAACTTTAAAAACAACCCAAAGTTATATTCATGTCCAAACACAACTCTAATTTTTAAATACCATTTTTACTTGAATTTTTTTTACTTCTTTTTTTTTGGAATTTTACAATTCTTTATTTCCGAACGCCCACTACATATCTGTGGTATAAGTAATAAGTTCAACGTTCTATTTTGATTTGACGTTCAACTCCAAATAGAGTCCAAAAATCCGCAAGATCATATAAAAAAAAAAGTAGTTCTAGCCAAAACAATGGAGTATTTAAAAAATTAATGGATTTGAAAAGAAAAAAAGTATAATTTANTTTAGAAAATGCTACGTGAACCCCAAAAAAAAAATCATGTGGTAGGCGTCGGTTTCACACATTCATATTATAGATTTTTTCCCTCAAATTTGCACTTTTGACTTAACAGTGATGTGTTGTTTTTTAGAGAATACCATGAATATGCAAAATGCATTTAGAATGAGACTTAAAAGATAAAGCATAGTGAAAAGAATAGACAAATGCCGTCCATAGTCGTATATGCTGAATGCAAATTATAAGTTATATTTGGCGATATTTTCGCATTAGAATAAACTTGTCCACTTTTGACCTATGGAAAGGGGTTAAAAATGCCCCTAAACTATTGGAAAAGGTTTAAAAATACCTTTCATCCACCTATTGGGCTAAAAATACCCCCCATCCAATTTTTTGGTTCACATATGCCATATTGACCGTTAGGTCAATGCTGAATTAAAAATAATTATTATTTGTTTTGTAAAACTTAAAAAAAAATATTTTGCAAAATATTTTTTTTTTTTAAACTAATGCACCATTAGTCCTCTAATTTAGTAAAGTCTTTTTTTTATTTTTTCCAGTTTTTACAAAAATAATTCAGTTTTTACAAAAAAAAAATTCCATTTTTTTCAGTTTTTTTAAAGCATTTTTTTTTAAAACTGGATTTTTTTTTTGTAAAAACTGATTTTTTTTTGTT